TCTACAATAGAAAGACAGTTTATTTATCGTGTTACGCAGTGACCCACTTTCTAATTTTGCCATAAACATGTCGGCTAGAAGGAGGACCTAATGGTGAACCCATTGTTAAACCTGTTTGATAGTAAATTTCCTTGCTAAACTGAAACTGTACATTCATCGTACAACGAAGAAGCAGCTCTTGTAGGGTTGAAAGTGGTATGTCTACCTCCATCTTATTATCTACCAATGAATCACAGATAAAATCAGTTTCCGAAAGAGGAAGATTGGTAAACAAGGGGTAAAATCCATAGAAATCATTGGCTTGTTGCTTAGGTTTTTGTTTTGACCCTTGAAATAAATTCAAGTGTCCTTTAGGTTATATTTGGCCACCTTACGTTGCAACGGTTTCATTGTATGTGCTAGCGATACGGTGCATTGCACATGTCCAAGATAGGGTGCACTACTGGGACTTTAGATTTATGGGTTTTGTGGAATCCATACGTTCTTGGCATGTTTATACCTGCAGGCTTAAGTCGTTTAAAAGTTTCCGGTGAGATTGTACCACTAATTAACAATTTATGCGATTCTTTTGAAAATTCGTTTTCTATTTCCTCAGTGTGATCTCACCTACTAGCTAGTTTCTGGAACTTTGCATTGTCTTTGAGGATGTTGCTCATTTTATCATTATCGTAGTATCTATTCATCAGTACGACTCTAGTTCCGCTAGCTGATCTTGTTATAAGTATACTATGACTATAGAGCATTTTTCTCAACTCTTCGCAATGTACCTCACTTGATCTAATTGGAATCCTGCTGTGCATTAGTTTTTCCAGCCAATTTTACTAATCATCTTTGTTTTATATAAATGGTGATTTTCAAACGTAGGTTATCTTGGATAGTCCAGTTGAGAAATTGATTTCTCCAAATCTATTTATTGCAAAAAAAGGTTTTGTGTATTGTTTGGGAACACATTGCTTTTGAACTGATTGACATTTTCATGCAGATCTGTACACCGTAGATGTTTAAACACCTAACTACCATACGCTGGACCATCTATTCGAACCTAGGCCATCCAGTAGTATCCAAAGACACTATGTTTAGCGTCGGCCACAGCTTAGTGCCCAAACTTTGTAGAGCGTAGTTGCTTCGTATAGATGAAAGATGGATATGTTCCATTATTGTGCAGGTCAGCATATGGAATAGAGACAGTTGATAAACTTGCATTCTATAAAGCATGTAAAGCACAACAATAGTAAGCAGATTTATGTACTAATCTGAGTCGTTTATGCTTCATTGGGGCTATTTATGCTACTCGACTGCCAAAACTAAGGTAAAAGGAGTAAAATTCGGTCCCGCTGGTCACTAGATGAAAGTTGGGTAGTTAATTTACCCGAACGCCTTTCACGTAAAAATAATCCATTGGTAAGTGCACCTGTAACGTCGTCTTGTTAACTAGTTCACTAGATACTAGCCAGTCCTAAGACTGAATAAAGAGGAAAGGTTGGGCATACGGCTAGCAATCCTACCCCGGAAAACCAATACAATCGCTAAAGAAGCTTCAAAACACAAAGGAAACATTAAATATAAACTTTGACCTCGCTGCAATCAGGTAGACGAAATGACGCCAGTTGGTGAAAGCCGTCGGGAAGCCAATTGGCCAATGTGACCTCTCTCTCGATGAAAGCGACAGCAAACATAGGGAAATAAAGTGTCCGCACAATGTTTCAAGCTAACAAGGCTGCCTAGATCCCAAAGCAGATGAGAAGGTATAGCATAGAAGTGCTAGGAATCTGCGAAAGCAGATGGAATGGAAGTGAACTCTCCCAACTGTCAACTGGAGAGTCAATAATCTACTCCGATATTGTCTCCCAGACGACAACCACGAGCACAGCACACTGAGTTTTCGAGTGCCCATCATGATGTCCCCAACACCATCGAAGGCTCTCTCTCTCTCTCTCATACAGTGGGAACCAATCTCCTCATGCAGGATCATTACAGCAAGGTTCAACTCTAAGGAAGGAAAGTCACAATCATACAATGCTACACTACACACCTACAAATAATGCAGATGAAGAGAAGGAGGAGGAGGAGTTCTACAGACAACTGCAATCAGCACTGAACATGACCACACCCCAGATGGCGACATCAAAATTCTAACAGGTGGGGTGAGATGAATGCGAAACTGGGAGTGGACAACACAGGAAGAGAACTAACCATGGGTCGAGAAGCATTTGGTGAAGTGAATGAGAATGGAGAACTGTTTGCAGACTTCTGCGCATTCAATGATTTGGTGACTGGAGATGAAGCAGTGTGTACAAACACAAGGATATTCACAAAGCGATCTGGATTTGATTTCACCAGACAACAGGACACACTAAAAATCAGATCGACTTCACGTCAATGTGAAGAAAGTGGAGACTCAGCCAACCTACCAGACACAAGATCAGATCAAGAAGGGGAGAAGATGTAGGTTCACACCACTCACTATCTAGCTTCAAAATCATGTTGAAAGCCAAAATCAAAGAAGTTGGTGATAGACGGCCACAGTTCAAGTTGAACAACCACCCAGAACAGAAACTGAACTGAACTGAAGGATGGAACTACAAAGGACATCTTCACGTGGGACAATCCCTGAAGGATCGGGTGTGGAAGAAGACTGGAACTCTTTGAAAGCTATATGGAAAGAAAGCTGGATAACTGTATGAGGAAGGAAGAAGAAGACACGAGATGAAAAACGGATCTCCACATGGAATCTGAGAGATAAGGGAGAGGAAGATGGGGAAGCAGAAGATGAACCGGTGCAAGGATGCACAACGAAAAGAGGAACTGAGTACAATGTATAAAACACTGGACAAGAAGTGAAGAAGAGTGCGCGCAAAGACAAAACACACCACTGCGACACACTTGCAAGTGAAGCACAACAGGCTTCAGATAAGAGAGACAGAGAGAGACCTGACAACATTGTATCAAATAACCAGGTTACTATATGGGAGGGGAGAGATCAACGCAGATGAAACCAATTAAAGATGATGGAGGAAATTTAACTACCAGAGAAGAGAAACAAAGTAAACAATGGGCTGACCACTTCAAAAAACTCTTCAATCGACCATCACCAACATCTCCAGCTAGTCCACAAATACCACCAGTAGTTCAGCCACAGAACTAACTACCGGTGAATACAGGGCCTCGGACAAAGCAGAAGTGAAGTCCTGAACGGTATCGAGTTGCTGAAATCTGGGAAAGCAGGATGAGAAGAAGGTTTTGAAGGAAGGAAGAAACGGTGCCTGTAGATTGATTGGAAGAAGGGCTACTTTGAGAAACTTCGAAAGAAGGGAGGCCTAAGTCTTTGCAGGACTAAGAACTGGCGAGGAATTATGCTGCTGTCCACCTCAAGCAAAATATTATGCGCATCATCTTAGAGAGACTGAAAGATATGTTGGATTGAAAATTACGACCGGAACAGGCTGGCTGGCTTCCAGAATAACAAATCATGTGTGGAAGAAATTGCAATGCTACCCTGCACTACGCATCATCATAGAACATAGGATGGGATGGCAGTCAACTCTCTACCTCAACTTCATAGATTTTGAAAAGGCCTTCGACAGCGTCGACCGAGAAGTGATTTGGCGGGCAGCTGCTTCAACACTATGATTTTAGTGCCACAAACCTTTATCAACCTCATTCCACAACTATGTTCTATATGATGCTATATGCCAAGTGATTCACAATGGAAAGCTCAGTAATGCGTTTGAAGTGAAGAAAAGAGTAAGACAAGGTTACCGCCTACTATCATCGATGATCTTCCTGATTGTGGTCGACTCGACTGAACTGGATGATGCAAGAAACTGTGAGGAGTGAGAAGATGGGTATACGTAGGCTTGACCGATGAAAAGATGCCTGAAGAAGATTTGGGTTTCGTCGCCGATGATGATTTATGTGTGATGTGGCAGATGTGGAAGATCTACAGGCGAAAACTAACAAGTTGATGAGGAGACAGGATAGAGATGGGAGACCGGACTTCCTTCAGGTGAGCGTAGAGAAGACAGAGGTGATGAAGATACTCAACCAACAACAACAACAGCAAGCACCAATCACCATGAATGGGAGAAACGTAAAGGAAGTGGCCTCTTTGAGCTGTCTAGGCAGCATCTTTTCAACTTCAGGTGGCGGCACAGGCACAGATGAGGACGTCAAAGCGAGGATCGGAAGGAAGCAGGACAGGCCTTCATTAACCCGAAATCAGTGTGGAGATCGACTGCACCACACCGCACCGCACTGCACTCAGCATAAAGCGTGAACAAGATCCGGATTTTCAACACTAATGTCAGTCAAGTCAGTGCTTCTACGTGAAGGTTGAGAGGCCTGGCGCGTTACGAAAAGCATTTTCAACAAACTAAAGATATTCATCAACAACTGCCTACGCTGGCTCGTTACTGGAACTCAGATGGCCAGAAAGAATTAAGCACCAAGGAACTCTGGGAATGAACTAACCATTGGGCATACACTGAAAAGACCGACTGAGGACATCACGAGCCAGGCCAGGCCTTCGAGTGGAATCGTAATGGAAAACGACGAGTCGGGCATCCGAGGTGAGGGTGACATGGAGGAGATCATGTGAGGAAAGAATGAAAGCTTTTCGGGAGTCGTGGCGCCAGGTTGAGAAGACTGCAGAGAAGAGAGTGAAATGGCGACTTGCTGCTGAAGCCCCTTGTTCCACTAGGAACCCAAAGGACACAATAGTAGTAAGTACACCTGTCACTCTACTGGTTCAGGTGAATGACTTTTAACCAGTGGGTCATGGTTGTAAGCCTCACTTCACCTTCCGAGTTTTGGACAGTTAGATGATGTCATTAGTCTTCACACAGGTATAACTTTGCGCGAATGTGCGCAAATTTGCTGAGAGCATTGTGATTCGATTTTTTCGATTCGTTAAGAAAGTAAAAGTTCCTATCCCTCATTGTATTGTTCCATTTAAGCAACCAAACGATCCCAATTTTTCTATCAATATCAAATATTTTTAGGTGTACCTATCAGTAATCAATGGGATTCTTATGGTTATCCTTATCCAATTCAAATTGCTCAGTTTGGTTTAAATCACTTCAGCCAGCTAGTAACATCCGACCAAGTTGGCTTCCAAGATGTGGAAAATATTTTATTTTTGGATGATCAAAATATGGATTTAGACTTAACTATCCCAAATGATAATGTTCTTCACCATTGGACCAGTGAAAAGCGTTTGGATAGGTCAAGTGACGTGCTCATATTATCAGGTCTGTAAATCTATTCGTGGCTATTAAGCGTTCTTATTTTTTATTGGGCATGCTTTGTTTTTACATGTTTGGAATTAATCTATAGGAAATCGGTGTTCCCTCAGCTATCCGAATCTGTGTCACACCAAATATAGTACCTCTCTGTGTCGAAACACGACTTAGTAGCCATTTTTCACACTTGATCTATAGAATTTAGTCAGTACTGAGCACTAGAGGCGAGACAGCTACGTTGGTTACCAACTTTTCACCTATATGTGCTTTACCTTCCTTGAATATTTCGCTTGTTTATTATGATATCTATCGAAATGGTATTGTTTTAATATGTATGTGAAAATGAGTTGAATTATTTCCCGTAACTTCAACCCTGTAAATTTAAATTTATCATGTTTCCTGTTCAAAAGCCAGGTGAATAGTTCAGTACTGATTTATGTTGAATAGAGAAGTTGTTGAAGTGTGCAGTCTATAGATAGACCGTATAAGCACGACCAAATAGCTTATGCTGCCAAGGAAATCGTAGTCAAACATCTGAAGTCTTCTTATATTCCCTGCCTTCAATAGCCTTTTTTCACAGCCATAAACTAGAACAGAACGAATTGCAGTGCACTCGACCCTTAATAGGCAGTTAGGTATCACATCTATGCCATAAATGACACTAGCAGAAGTCAATTAGATCTTTTCCATAGGTGCTGAGATTTCGCCTCTCATTGACCCGGCTTTTCAAGAAAGTGAGGGGGTCAATGTGCCCAATCACTGAAATCCTTACCGTCTGACGAGGTGATAATACAGACCGATTTTACAGCAACAGTTTGCATTTGGATGGCGAAAAGTGCACCCGGAACATTCTCGAATTGCCACTGGAGGCGTTCACAAGACTGAGTTTTGTCAGCGTCTTCATCTAAAACGACTATGCCATCTGCTTACTGTGGGTCGACTAAACATCTATCTGTGTTGTCAGTCCTGGCAAAGTCAGACGATGAGATAGTGACCTAAGGGAACAAGTTTATGACGAAACTTAATAAGAATGAGAAAATGGGTATCCTTGGTGGACACTACATGACGTACGCAACTCATCTGATGCCAGACCATAATCTCTAACTACTCGAATTGTGTTCGAAAACAAAGCCATCGATGGACTTACATGACAATATAGTGAGAGCTACACATTAGAATGGATATATGTGGTGTATGTGGCAAAGTAGAAAGGAGTAATAACCAATCAGTGGGGAATCAGGTAAAAAGAACATAAGAAATATTGCATGGAAATATAAGGCTCATGAACCTTGCGGAATGATATGCAGAACAAGTGGCAATTTGTGAATTTATAAATTATTGTTGGGTATAGCAATTCCACCATTACTAATCAGTTGTAGTTTCCTAATCAACAATTCAGTTGCTTATCGGACTTTTATTCGCTGTTTTTCTCATTAGCACCACTCGATGTACACAACTCACTTGGTACCTTGCTGTCGGCTTTAACGCTCACGGCTGTTCGAGTACAGAACCTTTAACAGAGTGAGGAACTAACCCGGAACACTTCTCAGTGAAGGACACTGTCATAAAATCTTTCGGTCAGTAGAGTTAAATGTCACCTTCACGTTGAGAAGTACAGTCGGTATCGGACATCGGTAAGTGTATCTGTATTCCAGAACCCGATGGAGAGTGAACATCTAGTCTATACACCTATGATTAGTCATGAAGCCAGCCTGGTTTTCCCGGGTTCATTGTTCTCGAGATACTTTTAAGTGTCCGATAACTATTGAACGTAGAATTTTAGACGCTATTTTCGTCAGACTAATCCTCTAGAGTTTATCACAACAGCTTTCTCCGCTTAACTGAAGAGTGGGACAACCAATGATTGAGAATGGTCAGCACGCATCATATCTGATTCAACCAATCAATCAATACCAACATAGGACCAGGCATTACTGCGTCACGGTCCGGGTTGCCACAGCTCAGTACAGTACATCAAGTAGAAATGTAGTGAGGTGAAAAATGAAGATAAGAGAATGCAGACAAAAGAAATATGAAGTACCTGAAGAAAGAAAAGAGGAATGACAAAATGATGAGATTCGGTATAGCGTCGTTAAGATGACGATAATGTGCGTAAACGTCTGCGCCACTGACATCGGTTCTGAGCCATATCCCCTAGAGTCTCCAACCACTGGTTCCTCTTGTCCCGCGGACCCCAACCACCCAGCTGCATCGCCCCACATGGCTCAAACCAACAGTCAGAGGCTTCCTACATTGATGCCATGTTTTAGTCTGGCCATCTAGCTAACACTTCCGCTAACCTGACTAAGAGCACTGCACCACCATTATTTTATACCTCAGCAGGTAGTCCGTCTGATCTTGCTGCCCTTCCTCGTTCTAGGTTACCTACCGCTCTCTCAACTTCTTCTAGTGTTGGGGGACCTATCTCTATGTCCCATTCAGGATCTGACTGGATAGCGGTCAACGGAATGGTGGTTCCAAACCAGTTAAACTGTTCCTCGAAGTGTTCTGCCCATCGTTCCAGTCGTCTCCCCTACGAGTGAATCGCAGATCCGTCCTTCTCCGCTATAGCCTCACTAACTGTTGTTAACCTTTTCCCCCCAGTTTCCTTAATAAGTCTAAATAACTGTCTACTATTATCAATCGTTGCTGTCTTTTCCATCTATCTCTTTAGCCTTCACTTCCCACCACTGTTCACGCTCTTTGCGTAGACTTTTTCTCAATCTACTTTTTAGTTGCGCTCGCTCTTCATTGCACTCAGAGTCTGTAGGGATGCGTTCACGTGCATCCATTAGTTCGGAAGAAGCTGTTGATAACCACTGGCTCTTTTTAGCCACTATTTTGGAGTCGGTTACAGTATTCAGTGCTACTTTTACAGCAGACTGGAGATGGCACCAAGCTTCTTCTGAATGAGTGATGGTCTTTTGTTCTGATAACTGTCTAGCCAATTTCTCACTGAACACGGCTTTGGTGTTTTCGTTGTCCAGCAGCATTCGTAGTGGTTTTGTTGCCAAGTTTTTTCTACGTCCATTGAGACGGAGGCATATACGTGCTCGGACCAACGCATGATCGCTGTCACAGCACGTACTCCAGAAAGAGCGGCAGTCTTCCACCGATCCTCTCCACCGATGACTAATGGCAATGTGGTCTATCTGTGTCCATCGCTGATTTGAGCTCGGTGAACGCCACGTCAGATAGTGTCTTTCTTTACGTCTGAAATTGGTGCTGGCTAAAAATAGGCGGTTATCTGAGCATAGTTGTAGTAGACGATCACCGTTATCTGTACGTTCAGCTGGGATTCCGAAAGTGCCTTTCTGCCTCACTCAGTCTACCTACCTGTGCATTGAAGTCACCTGCAACAACCACCACGTCCGAGCGTTTGGCTTTCGAGAGGAGGCTAGACAGTTTACGGTAGAACTCATCCTTCACTTCATCCGAGCTGCAGTCAGTGGGTGCGTGAGCAGAGATTACAAAGAGACAACGGCGAGTCTCACTATTCCTTTTAGTTCTCACCGTGCCGTTCAGTCGGATAGCACAGGGGTGACTATCAACTGAGATCCAGTCTAGTAGTGAGTTTTCTGCCCTAGTGCTTAGTGCTATGCCTACACCTGCAAGACCATGAGAGCTAGCTATCGGATCTCCAGAAACTCGAAGGGTGAATTCGTGGATTCACCAGATTGGTCGGGAGAGGTTAGGTGAATAACCTCACTTGGGTCCTGTATGCGTGTCTCTCAGACTCAACACAGACCCATGGTCTGAGTTGCTAGAGTCTTGGCCAATGAAGCCTGTTGACCAATTTAACGGATTGTGTGTACATCGAAGGCTCCAATATATAATTTGGAGCTTGGTTTAAGGAGACCAGGGATGCTGTTCTGTGGACTCAGATCGTTGTCGAAGGCTACAGAGCTAGGAGAAATTGAAGATGATGTAGTATCGTTAGTTGAGAGACGCGAAAGAAGAATAGAAGGTAATGATGGAGGAGGTAGATAGCAGTCTGAGGGAACTTGAGTGCTGATTGAGTTGTGAGGGCGGTTTACACTTCCCGGCTGTCCACACCGTGGAAGGCTATTTCTTCTTAAGGTACCTGAAAGAGATTTGTGTGACCGCAGCGCCCACCGGACATCTGCCTGAGACCTGTTACACGAAGCCTTTTGAGTATGATTATTCTGAACTTTGTATTTTTGGGGCTGGATGGTCGGAAAGAAACTACAAATGAACCAACACCACCGGCCTGACAGACCGTAGGGCATGGTGGAGTGTGTTATTTTTGGGGCCGACCTTTTCTAAAGCCCCCCTTCCACTGAGAAGGCAGCATCAGCATGGCACTGCTGGTCATCCAAGGGAAACACCTTACTGCTGTCACACTCCATCCAGCTAGCAGCAGTACGACTTCGTCCTCAGACCCCCATCATAGTGTAGTAATTTACACCACAACGGTAACTGCTTTTCGTCTAACCACTATCCAACAGACCTTTCTGGTATGGTAGGACCTCGAGGGAACAAGCGTTTCACCAGCATAGCTCGTTGGGTCATTGTGATATGCAAGCCCCACCACCACGTCAAGGTGGCAGCTATCGGTCGGGGTATCTGATTCACATACGCTAGCTGACAAGGCAGTTAACTTGATCAATAATCCACAGCCACCGTCCTTACCAAATACCTGCTGTACTAGTCAGTCTTACCTTTCTTCCCTTCCTCCTTTGAGACTGCTTGCAATTCTCATCACTTTTGTAAGTTTTGTGGATTTTATCTCAATGTTCCATCAAGGGTGCGACAGAATGCCTGGCAAGAGAATAGTAGTTGGGGGTCAGTCGACCTGTTCTTCAAAGTGAGTAGGAAATGAAAGCTTCTGGGGAGTCGTAGAGCCAGGTTGAAAAGACTGAAGAGAATACAGTGAAATGGCGACGTGCTACTGAAGCCCCTTGTTCCACTAGGCACCCAAAAGACAAATAATAATATTATTAATAATACTTCTTTAGCTGAAGTTAGCAGTTGATTCTGTCGACTGAGAGCTCTTGTGGTGGTAACTGTCTGTGAATGGATTACTGAACGAGTATGTGGTGCGGTCAAAGCTGTCGAGTGGGACTCATTCTGTCATGTAAGGTCTTGAGAAGACATCATTTGTATATTGAACAACTACTAGTGATGTTCGGTTGATGTGTATGCTGTCACCGTTCATGACTTACTTTGTTACAGATATATTGTTGGGTATAATTATAGAAACCTCGGAATTTTCAGGGATCGATTTGCCGTCGGTTGACTTGGTGTATGCAGATGACGTTGTCCTATCATTAAGGGAAAACTTAGTGTGTTTGACATACGTTTCACACCTGTTAAATCCAAGTTGGCGCTTCATGACTTGTCTAGGACTACTTCCAGTTTATTGATGGGTATTTCAGTGTTGAAATGCGTTAACCACTTCACTTACTTGGTTGTTCAGAGGGACCGGTTGCTGATAGCATCTCAACTTGGATTCAAAAAGCCGCTTCAACATCTGGGAACTTGGATCATCTCTGGCACCGACTGGTAATCTATCCGGCTACAGGTTTTCAGGTGTTTTCCTAGCATTGCTCACGTATAGTGGAATAACAGTGCAATGTCGAGATTAATTGAAGAATGCTAGGTAAAGCATTCAAGGCAGTTAATTAGGTCGTGACTGAGGTGGCTTAGCTAGGTGTTACACATTCTGAACCGTTCTATTATGTACAATGTTACTCAACGTTGGATTAATTTAGAAAAAGACACTAGATGAACGGACCAAAAAGTGGCACCTGTCCATGAGGTATTTGACTGTTGATCTGAGCCATATAATGGAATGTATAACTGCCTGGCTATGGACTCGGAGACCATAGGAATCAATGATTGCATACTCTCTCGATGAAGTGACTGAAAACCGGTCGGAGTAGTGCATATGTATTTACTCTTTTAATGCTTGATAAAGCTTGAATATTTTGACTAACTTTCGTTTTTAAATTCCCTTTCCTCCCATAAATTTTTGTCTACTCTGATATCACTTTTTCCTATCCACGTGTTCTTTGTATACTACATACTGTGAAGTGTGACAACTTGAACAAAAGCACTTCTTTGCTAAGTTCGATTTCGATTTTATTGTTTTCCTGCCCGCAAACGACCAAGCAGCTCGATAGTGTCATTAGCTTTGGTGTATTAGGTGTGTTCTACAAGTATGTCAACACGGGATTTTTAAACCAATTGGTACCAAAAGTTTTTCTAAGAATAAATAAGCTTGTTTAACTAATTGCATTGTTTTTTGGTTTTTAAAACAAACATTATGGTTTGAATAATAGAAAGGTTTCTTCGGAAAGTAGACAAACATTTTAATGTCCTCGTACGTATTTGTATTGACGTTGGGATGAAGTCGGTATCTTGCAAGGTGCGTATTTGCACTGAAACCAAGAACTCTTCCCATAAGTCTTTTATACAAACCAGGTTTATTCCAAAGTATGGAATCTACTGGGAAATTGGAACCGGTTGATTCTCCATTACTTGTTTCATACAGTGGCTGTTATGGGGGTTTTCGTACTTACAATTTTCGAGATGAAAATACAGCTTTTTATACCAATCACGATTACCTCTCACCTAGTTTAGGAGTTTCTTATGAGGGTGATGGTATTAGTTCTATTTTCCCCACACAAGCCTTCACCATATTCATCCCATCGTATTTGTATGTGCACGCATACTGACTAAGTACTCACACCTAATTAGTGACCTCTTTCATATTCCACTAAAAACTCCCGCTATGTGGTTTGGAGCTGTGGGTCATTGGTTTAATGAGTTGACTTTTAACCAGAGTCACGAGTTCGAACCCCGGCCCCCCTACAAAGGTTTAAACATCGAGGTAGTAGTATTATAAGCCCTCAGAACACAGGTGTATCTCATTACCTGCTTCGTGAATGTGCACAAGGTTGTTTGGTGCACTTTTTCTTTTCTAATGTGTGGTGGGGCTTCAGTAATGCAGCATCTTTACAGCGCTGAAAGCACTAAGCCAAGGTTGTTCTCAATGTATCCAGCTATCGCCTTTACCTATCAGTTTATCAGGTGGGGAGTATTTATGTTAGAAATATCTGTATTGTTAGTAGTATGAATCAATAAGGTTAACTACGAGTCATTATGATTTATCAGTCGTCCACAAAAATATATTTAGCGTCTATTCTTTAACTGTATTCCAAAATATTTGCTTTTTTTCCATCCAGTAAACTTAATTGGTTGTTAGTGTGCTGTAGTTGATTTTGTTAACTTATCGCAGACAATTCTAAATTCGTATAACAAATTTATCTCTGAAAGCTATTGGTGAGTTACTTGTGATAATTTTCTTGCAATAGCTGTTTTTAGGTAACTACTACAACTGGGAAAAGATGATTCTTTCCACTGAATTCGCTCGTAATTCGAGCGACCCAATCTTTCTCATGAGTAGTCCTTCTAATTGTTTTTAAAGTATCATTCTGACTGATCATTCTTTAAAAGTAAGGTAAGAAGTGCATCAAATTTCTAATTTCCGTCTATTTCTATTTGTCGCTTTTTATTTTCTAAAACTATTATTACACTTACTATCTTTTCTATAGGATTCTCACGTAAAAGTGAAAAATGGTTATTTGAAAAACTTGAAGCATGATGCGTTTAATCTACTGATTTGTGACAAAGCTCCTTTTTCCTCATTTTCAATCTTAACGAAATATAATTCTGAGACTTGACGATCAGTTAACCCATATCCATAGGTGGATTTTCATGTTGTGTAAATGTAAGGAAGACCTGAATTGTATGGGAAAAGCCTATCATACTAAATTGACTATGTTGCTTAGCTTTTTTTAAAAAAAAAACTATAGTGCACTAGGTTACTTTTGTTGCTGAGAAGTGTATATGCAGTACTTTCTTCAGCAGCTGGTATGCTTTTTTGATTAGATGAATCTTTATGTCATCCAACGGTGTTTGCATATTATTACGCGCACAGTAGAATTAATGCCTCGAGGTGTGCTAAAATACTTTGAACCTAGTCAACTACAGTACAAAGTGTAGCTACACGAAAACGAAAAAGTGATAGAATTCCATACTTATACTGTATGCCTTAAATATACCACGTCATATGGGATAACATACTAAATAGTGACCCAATAGTCTCAGGCTATTGATTCACTTCCCTATATCTGTTGGTACTTTAAGCCCAAAATGAAATATGATCCGCATATTAGGTGTAAGTTTCTGTTATGGAAGTATTACATGCATTCTTTTTATTTTATAGATCCCGGTGACCGAATTTTTTCTGTTACCCCGAAGCTTCAAGGTTGGAGTCATTTTATTATGGTTGGCCACCAGTGGACGTACGGAAGCTTCGTCGAGCTGTTGGTTTTATGGCATCCACCACCATCAGCGATCAGACCCCGCTTTAACCGTCTACGAAGAACTTCCGTTGCATATAACTGTTCCTCATCTCCGAATAGACATGTAGGTGATATAGTGATACACATAACTATTGTAATAATTATAAATGAAATATATTTTGTAAAATCCCAATGCAGTAGAAAAATAAATTTCTGACGTTTCGCGACTTCGTGGAAGAAGCGATTTCCACGAAGTCGCGAAACGTCAGAAATTTATTTTTCTACTGCATTGGGATTTTACAAAATATATTTCATTTATAATCCAATTACCCAATGCTCAACTTATTGAACTCTATCAGATCAAATTTTGATCCTGAAGTTTACAAAATTATTGTAATAATCTTGTGTTTTTAGATACTTGAGCGAAATTTATTTGGAGTGAATTTTGAATTCATCATCTATCCTTCCCTGATGTGTCATGTAGTACTGTTTTGAAACATTACAGAATGTCGTAGTTTTTTGTTGTTCAGGTGGATAAAAGGGAGATATCCTTGAATCATATGATTTCCGGTCACTGTAAATCTTATATCTTATTGATCAACTACCTCATTTAGTGCTATTTTATTGGTTAAGGTGGAATCCAGTAGTTCACATTTCCTACTTCTGTCAGTTCACGATATAGCGCGACGTCTATCTAGTGCCGTTGTCGAGTAACTGTCCTCGCGTTCGACTTGGTTGGCCCCTCTGGTCATGACTTCACATTGAAAGCTAGTGATCAATGAGCACTGGATTAGTTCAATTTGAAGGTTTGTGGGGTTTTATTTGCTGATTTCAGGTTAGTATTCATCATGAACTGATCTATTAATTCAGGGAATGGAATGGCTCTGTGAAATCTTTCGGAGGTGAAAAATTATTTGCAGCATACAATAAACACGGTTCATCATATCGCACTTATTGTACTATATAGGGTGATGGTGTTAATCCATCTCTTTTCGGTTCTCACTTGTTGATGTTTGAAGCTTACAGTTAGTCACCTTATTCTTCACGAAATATTTAATGATTAAAGTTAACAGTAACTCATGGCTGTTTAATTTTTATTTCACAGCATTTATCAGTGAGTTGAAGCTGTAACTGTAACTTACATTTATGCATCGTCTTAGTCAAATATGCTACAGGTCATCTATTTGGTTTATAGTTTTGAAGAAGCTTGAGTTTTCTCAAGTTTATAGACACCTCTTGGACTGGAGCTAATAGGCATAGTTCCTAGGTTGCCTGTACCCGACTCTATAGGTAGGTCATCTTGATTCACTTTGTTTTACACAACCAGGTTTTTTGACACCAAACTATGCTTCAGACAATTTGTACAAATCGTGGTCAAGATTTGACCAGACGGTATCACAAATGTTTGGCACTGAGTGAAAACTTGGCATTTGGAAGAAGTGGTATTTGATAAATCCTAAGCGTGTTCGAAATAAATAATTCAAAAGTTTAACATGGAAGTCTGGTCCGAGATTCTCCAGGGAAATAATCAAAAATTACACATATATATATATGATAAATTGTGCACTTCATCTCATCGTCCAATCTTGTTTGGATTATTACTGTTTTCCAACATGATTAGTATGTATATGTTGGCGCTGTATCTCAGACGTTACCTATTACATGATAACATAGGTCGTGGTTGTCATATTGAATGCATGGAGTGCATACACGTTTTGTATGTATGTGAAATGAAAACTTGAAAAATATACATGTTATTTTTACTGACAGGTGAGAAACGGAAAACTGATGATGATAATTCTAGGTTTTCTCGTTGGTTTTCAGTGTTTTTTGAATCCAGTAGTATAAATAATAATAATGATAAAATGTTTATACGTATCATAACAGGTTGTTTGCTGTTTATGATGGTTAAACAACTCACGGAAATAGGAGTAAAAAATAAAACATTATTACTAATGTTCCTTTGTCCATTTTTAATCGATAATTGCCAACGTGCAACCAGCTGCATTCCGTCTCATTTATTCAGGCTGTTGGAATTTACCTACATATGTAGGGCCTTTACGGTCATTCTTTGTGACAAAACCTTTTTATAGAACTTTGGTCCCATCGAAGTCAACTTTGTGTCCTATAGTGCAATCGTTGATATGTCTTTCAGTTTCTGAATGTCTTCTGTGGTTTCTAGAATTTACTTCAGAAATTGTCGTTTTTTCTTCCCCCTCACATTCACCTGCCTGGATGTTTCCCTTACATATACTGTGTCACAGTCCGAGCGCTTTATTTCATAGACACAATTCTGTTGGTTTTACGTCGGTATTACATTCTTGACTTTCATCAGGGGAGAAGGTAGATTATTCGTCTTACGAAAATCAACCTTTATACCATGCGTATTGATAAGTCTTCTAATTTCTACTTATGTCTATAAGGAGTCACCGCACTACTGATCCACTTTTTTGGAGGACACTTTGGACCATTCTTCACTTCATTTCTCCAGATTCTTTTTTGAATGTTTCTGGATAGTTGTTTGGTGTAAGTGTAGAATAGACTAACGTTAAGTCATCATTTCTGTTGTTAACCAACGTATTATCTACGTATTTCGACCGTATTCTCTGAAGAACCGAGGATTTTATCATTGCATTATTCACTAGTGAATGTGGTATTCTGGAAATCTCATCGCATTGCCTTTTGTTTGTCTGCATAGATCTCTTCTAAACGTGAGAAATGTTAGTCTTAATCAGCTTTTCCCTTAATAATTTGTCACCGTTTTTTAAATGGGAGTTAAGCATTGAAGAGTTTCAAAATTGCTGCATAATCTGTATCCATATAAAGTGGATTTTTACCATTGCGTATCGTTCGAATTTTCATTCGACTGATACGCCTTTGCTTTTACATGCTTTAACAATTTGAAGTAAAAATGTTGACTCAAAGTTGTGATATCCTATTTCGTAATTCCATTGTAGTCTCCACTAGGAACTAAAATGAATGACTAAAGTTTAAATTTTCTCGATTCAGTTTTAAGTGTTTATCTCCCAGTGTTTATCCATTTTCATTTCCTTATGAAATGTTGCTGTCGTGACATAATTGGAATAAAAATGCTTTAGAAAGCAATTTGGCTTCAGTATAAGAATCTACTACTTAAATTACGTTGCTGTATCATTTTGTTTACCTTTCAGCAAAAATATGCTTCTATCACCTCAGATGGAAGTAGAGTTGTATTTTGGATGCCTGAGTGCGAAAAGTTAGCAAGACTTCATGGGACTATTAACAGTATTAAATTAGCACGGGATATTTATACTGATTTAATGAAAGCATTCTTTCCACTATGGAAATTACCTGAACTTGTTAGCCCAAGCAGTAATGAACCTCTGGATAATAACTTTACCGGTTATCATTAGTAAGTTTTTTTAATATTACTTCAATAATGAAACCACCTCTAAAAGTAACTTCATTTTACAGTTATGCTGATTAATATCCCTACAACTTCATATGTTGAATAAAAGCGATTAGTTTTTCCTAGTTTCTACGTCTCGGGGACTTTTTTTAGTGGGTTCCATCGACTCTTGAAACCTTAGCACCCCGTAAGCTGACGAAGTGAAGTAGGATGTAAAATAAGTTGAGCGGTCCACTTGATCTACCGTGTGCACAACTCATTTATTCATTGTGTGAAAACTAATGAAAATAACCTAGCTGCCCGAAACTCAGTAGATTCGGTGGAATCCAAAGCTCTTACTCATTTGTTGGAAGTCAACTACCTGGGGCGATGATCCACAGCTCTGCAGATGTATAGAAGCACGGTATTTTCTATAACTGATTTTACATGCTATCGATATCTAGCACATGCAAACCATAGTTAGTCAGTTTTGGATATCTGGTTGTAATATTCGCTCTCAAATGTATAATGTTGTCAGAAATTAGTTCTAGTTCACAGGGATACTCGGGACATCTACAAGGGCAACGATAATCAAAGACCTATAACCTTTTCATGTTCTCTGCGTTCAATTATATCAACAAAGACCAGCCGTGAGGCAAAAATTTATATTTCTGTAATGAGAAACGCACCCCGAACATTCTCACATTATCACTCAAGGCATCAAGAAGACTCCGAATCTACAAGCACTTCGCATTTTTGTACTTTGTGTCGACCAGAAAGTCACTGTGACAAAGACAACCCTTGCTAATTCTGACGAGGAGAAAGACCATCATAAGCACGACTGTGACAAAATTAATTAGTAATAGGGGTAGTGGACATCCTTGATGAACACCAGTTGACTTACATAACTCATCTGAAACTTGACTATGAGTTCCAACAGGCTCACCAATGTTCAAATATACAACCTTCAACAGGGTAATACATTTTCCTTCCACCAATGTCAGTGGTAGAATGCCATAAGACCACTATAGTTTTAATTAATCCACTTTGATGTCTGAGGACGAAGTCTTACCGCTGACTGATTGTTGGGGTGTGACAGCAATGAGGTGTTTCCCGGGGATAACCAGTAGTACCCCACCGATGCTGCCTTCCCTATAGAAAAAGGGGGTTTAGAAAAGATCGGTCCTGAAAATAGCACACTCCTTTGTACCTGGGGCATATCGTCGCTGCGACATGGGCTCAAAGTCGGGTTCAAAATCAAAAAACCAAAATCTCAAAGTTGCAAAAAGGCACTAAATGATCGGCCTCAAGGAGATATCTCTTGAGCTCTGCGGTCATGGACTAAACCTTCTTTTACGGGTACCTTAAGGAGCATTATCCTCCCACGGTATGGGTAGCCAGGAAATGTCAGCTGCCCGTACACTTCCAGTAGTATACAAAAATCAACTGACTATAATGTACTCTCCTCTTTGTTTCCTCCCTCCTGATATTATACCTTTCACTTTCTCAATCTCTCACTCCATGACCGCTACCAACAATCCAAGCCAGCAAAACACCATTCCTAGTTCCCTGAAATTCCGTTGTTAGTTTCACATTCGAACTCCCAGCGTCCGAACACCATGTCGAATCAGACGACCAGATAGAACTAAAATCTTGAGCTATGGATGTATTTTGTGTTTCTGTGAGACGCAACGGGACCCCAGTATGGTTATTCACTTGAGCTTGCTTGGTGAAAGTGAAGGAATTCACGAAATTATCTCTACGTATGTGCAGACTTTCGGTAGCTACCTCTCTTGGACTTGCTGGTGTAGATATAACATTACATTGTAGACCAGAAAGCGTACTCATTGACTGGAAACCAGTGAACAGCCTTTTGTATACTATTGGACTAGAAAGATCTGTAAGGACTAGGAATGATCGTGAGATTAAGCGATTCTTATTCGTAATCTCCGCTTACTCATCCACTGACTACAGTTTGGATTATGCAAAGGATGAATTCTACAGGAAGCTGTCAATTTTACTACAGAAAGCAAAACGTTCAGATATAGTGATTAAAGCAGGTGACTTCGAAAATCAACTAAATGAGTTAAGCCAATCAGAAAGGAATCTTATGCCAGCTAACCGACAATGGTGATCGTCTGTTACGATTTTGTTCCGACAATCACTCGTTTCTGGCCAGCACTATCTTCAAGCGTAAGGAGAGACAGTGTTTCATATGGCATCCGCCAATATCAAACCAACGATGTACGCAGACAGATCACATTGAAATGAACCATCGTTAGAGAGGATCAGTGGAGAATCGTCGTTCTTTCTAGGGTATCAGTTTGTACTCCGACTACTCCTTAATGTAGGTAAGTTTATGTCTACGCCTTACTGGTCGTAGAAAACAGATCACAGAGAAGCCTGTCTGTGCTCGATTAGAAAATGAGGATGTCAAGTACGTATTTAGCGAAGAGATAAATAAGCATTTCTGAACATGACAGCAATGCTCATCCTAAGGATGCCTGTCGTGATATTCAGTGTGATGTAGAGGCGGCGATAAAGACACTTTGTAACCTACACTCAAAGGTTACCAAACGTCATTGAATTTCCGCAATGTCACCCAAACTGATTAATTTGGGAAGACTCATTCTAATTGGCTCTGGCCACAAGAATCTTTGCAATGATCGCGGGCAGTTTTGGGTGGTGAAAGCGGGAGAGATATAGAGGGCATCATCACTAGGTAATAAACAGTAACTACTTAGGGTTATTAAGAATACCAGTGGTTAGTGAAACCACCACAAAATGGATGGGACACTGATAGCGACCAGAACGTTTAACAGAACACTGGTGGACAGTTCAGCTAGTCCTCCGTAACACCTTATTCGCCCAATATTCAGCCTGAATGATATGTAGATGTCGGTCCTCCGACCGTCCTCAAAGTTTAGAAAGCTCTTTCAAGCATGAGCGGACGCGAAACATCAAAATCTGAAGTTTTGACATCTGAAAGTTTCAAGGGAGAATTTTGGAAAATGCTGAGTAAAGTAACGGAAGTACTATGCAGTGTGTGGGGAATCAAAGGGAGTTATTTCACACTAGTCAAGATCGCTAACCAATGTAGTTTATATGGAAGGAGAAAGGTATTCTGACATAACCATAGGGTAATCAGTTTGACTAACATCACGTCCAAGATCCTTGGGTCCACAGTTATCCGACACCAAACTTGAGCTCGAGAACAACAAACTGGAGGAAACCAGGCAGATTTCAGACGTAAAAGACGGTGCATCGACGAGATCTTCACCCTTCGACAGGTTATGGAATACAGGCCTGCTTACGGGTTTTTGAAACTTCTGCCACTACTCCCAGTTTAGTGATTGAGAGTCAAGTGCTAGAATGCTCTGATCACATAACTTACTTAGGGAGTTGCGTCAGCCCGAAAGGCCTGGATGCTGAAGTAATTTCAGCTTGGATGTAAAGGGCTCGTCTGGCATTTACCAAATTATATTATCTGTGGCACCGATTGACGAGATATCCGACTGCCAATCAAAGGATGAGCATACTGCTCTGCAGTCTGTTCTATCCTGTTATACGACTGTGAGACATGGTCGTTCAAAGTGGAAGATATGAAGTGGTTACAAATTTTTTACGGCAGGTTTCTTCGTAGCATTTCTCACATATGATGGGATCACCGTGTGAGCAATATTGAGGTCAGTCGAGGGGTACTGGGCAAGGAAGGCAAGTTAGTCAATGCTGTTGTGAACCATAGTCGACTGAAGTGGCTTAAACAAATGTTGTGCATGCTGAGCCATCGCCTTCCTTGACGTACTACCATGCTAAAGGAAGTTGGATTAGATTGGAAGAGGGTTCAGCATGGCCAGGACAAAACGTGGCATCAGTTCAAGAAGTCCTTGACTGTTGGTCTGAGGTGTAGACTACCTGCCTGGAGTCCTAGAGACGATAGGAATCAGTGGTTGTAGACTCTTGGTCATAATTGCGCAGATGTATTCACTGTTTGACGTCTACCGAATCTTGAATGTTTTGACTAACGTACATTTTTAAATTTACTCCCGTCCCATATACCTATGTCTATTTTGATATCACTCTTTTTCTACCGGCTTATTCTTTGCATGCTACTGTGAAGTGTAGAAACTTGAGCGATGCACTTGTGTGCGAGGTTCTATGTATATTTAGTTTGCCTAAAAGACCACTTCATGATCGGATCCCTCACATAAACTAACTCAACAAATTTAGGGCATCGGCGTGCTCCAAGATGTGTTCGATGCACTCACCACTAGGTCTAAAACATGTCTGGTTTTCTCGAGATAGCTGTTCTCGAGCTTCACTTAGGCGTCTGATGCTTACTGGATTCAGAATCTTAAAAGCAAAGCTGATCTCCCTGTTGTTATCACAAGAACGTTTGACCTTGCTGGATGACTGCAACACTGCTTGAGACTAGTCAGCAAGTATCATATCTTATTCCTATGCACTAGCCAACACTTCAGTTAACCTGACCAATAATCCTCTGCCACCGTTCTTAAACACCTCCGCCACTAGTTGAACTTGGTTCTGCTGCCCCTCCTTTCCGGTTGCTTACAGCTTTCGCCACTTCTGTAAATGTTCTAGGTCCTGTTTCAACGTTCCATTCAGGGTCCGACTGGATAGCTGGCAATGAAATAGTAGCTAGAGATCGTTCAACCTTTTCCTTGAAGCTTTCTACTCATGGTTCCAGTCGTGTGGCCTGCGCGTGAGTTGCAAGCCTACACTTCTCCGTTATAATCTTACTAACCATTGGCACAGTTTTCTTGATAATTATGCTGTTCCCACTATCTTTTTCATTTTGGTTTTCTATTGACAATGATTGTGTAGATCCTCCGCGAGAGTACATTTGAGCTTCTTTCGCTCTTCGTAGTGCTCGGAGTTCAAAGAAATGCGTTTACATACCTATATAATTTCAGACGAAGCTACCAAAATCAACTAACTGACCGTTTGTAAGTCTTTACCTAGAGCTTACCTCAGTCTTTAACGTTGTCGTGTCCCTTTGGCTATCTAGTCAGTTCCTTTCTGAAAACGGCCTTAGGATTCTTATCGTGGATCTATGCTCAGAATGGTCCAACTGTATTTTTTGCAACTTACGTCTACGCGCTGACTTGTGTGCTGAAGTCAACGCATGATTGCTGTTCATATAAGTGCTCCATGAGAAGAGGCAATCTTTCACTGACCCTCTCTAGCGATATATGATAAAAATGTGATCTATCTTTGTGTTCATCGTTGAATTGAGTTTGGCGGACGCAATGTCAAACAAAGTCTCTCTTGATGTCTGAAGTTCTTACTAACCGAAAGTAAATGGCTGAGCACAATTGTAGCGGGTGCTCACAGTTCCGGTTGGATTCAAAAACTGCCACCTTGGTGCCTTACTTGGTCTACTCAATTTTGCATCGAGATCACCTTCTATAACAACCATATCTGAACTTTTGGCCTTTGTTAGGTAGTCAGACAGGTTTATTCAGTCTCATCGAAAGACTACACAATAGCAACGCCGAGTTTCACTATACTTTCTAGTCCTTATTGCACCGTTCATTCAAATGGCGTACAAACAGTTGTCAATTGACGTCCAGTTTAAGAGCACATTTTCTGCCTTAGGATTGAATGTTGTAGGTACACCGGCAAAATTGTTAGGACTAGCTGGGGAGTCTTCAGAACCCTTAAGACAGTTTTGCAGATTTACTTATTTTGTCGGGTGAGGTCAAATGCATAACCATACTTGGTTCCTGTATGCGAGAGTTTTGACTAGCATAGCTTGTTGTGCGATTTGATAGAGCGTGTGAACATTGAAATCTCCAATGCATGGTTTTGAGCTGGGTTTCAGGAAACCAGGGATGCTGTTTCGTAAACTGAAATTGTTATCAAGAGCTACGGAGCTGAAACAAAAGAAATGTGATGTAAAGGTGCTGACGGATAGAGGCAACATTGTTGCAGGTTGATGTCAATTAGAAGTTACTTGACTGCCAGTGTAGTTTCAAGTGACAAGTGACGTTATTGTATTCCGATTACTGATGAGTTTTGAGTCAAGGGATATCTTCTTGCTGCAGTTCGCATACAGCTTTCGTTGAGGGTTGATAGTTTGATTACCTTAAATCCCACCTAAAAAGCAGATACTGCCAGCACTAGAAAGGTGCGTGGTATGCAACAGTGTTTTATGTTTGACACTAACGTTTTCTGACCCCATTTCTCTTAGCATAAAGACCGGAAGCCAGCGCTGTAGGGTATTCTCCGGAAATATCTTGCAACTGTCACATTTTAGTCAGCCAGCTATACGACTTATCCATCGGGTGTTCACCTTAGTATAGGTGGTCTATTACTGAAGTAACGGTAATTCCTTTTTTTGCTACTTCTATCGAGCGGTTCTCTGGTACAGTTGGACTCAAAGAATAGATATTCCCATCAGTATAAATCCTTGGGTCATTGTGCTATGGAAGCCTGATCATCTGGTCAAGGTGTAGCACCTATCTCTTAACTCAGTCAGCAAGTCAACTTTTGGCTTTTTCTCATTACATTATGTGGTTAGTTTACAGTGCCTGGATAGCTTCTCTCAGTCAAGTGGCTATCTACATTTTTTGCTTATATTTGAATTCTTAAACTGAACGGTGATAAGGTTGCCCAAAATCATCGTATTTGAGTGGCAGGTATCTGTTTGAAACTGTAAGGAAGACACTGTTGAAGCAGTTTCCAAATTACTTGTTGTTCGACGCTGCTGAAGCCCTCTTCATAGTCGATGAAGTTGAGGTAGAGAGTTGACTGCCATTCTATGCTTTGTTCCATGATGATGCGTAGCGTTGCGATTTGATATGCACATGATTTGTACTTCCTGAATCCAGTTTGTTTCGGTTGTAGTTTTGAATCCACTGCATCCTTGACTCTCTCCAGGTTGATGCGACATAATATTTTGCTTCATTCGCCCTTCTTCCGAAGTTTCTCAAAGTAGCCCTTCTTCCAATCAATCTACAGGTACCTTTCCTTCCTTCCACATCTTCTGCAAAAGTGGTGTGAGCATGTCCGCTGTTTTCCCTGCATTCGCTCTCAGTGCTTCTTGCGAGATTCTATCTGCTCCTGCTGCTTTCCTGCATTTCAGTATCCTTATGGCGCTCAGGATTTCGACATTCGTCGGTGGGGTTGTGTTCACCGGTAGTTAGTTCTGTGGCTGAACTACTGGTGGTATTTGTGGACTAGCTGGAGATGTTGGTGATGGTCGATTGAAGAGTTCTTTGAAGTGGTCAGCCCATTGTTTACTTTGTTTCTCTTCTCTGGTAGTTAAATTTCCTCCATCATCTTTAATTGGTTTCATCTGCGTTGATCTCTCCCCTCCCATATAGTAACCTGGTTATTTGATACAATGTTGTCAGGTCTCTCTCTGTCTCTCTTATCTGAAGCCTGTTGTGCTTCACTTGCAAGTGTGTCGCAGTGGTGTGTTTTGTCTTTGCGCGCACTCTTCTTCACTTCTCTGTCCAGTGTTTTATACATTGTACTCAGTTCCTCTTTTCGTTGTGCATCCTTGCACCGGTTCATCTTCCTCTCCCTTATCTCTCAGATTCCATGTGGAGATCCGTTTTTCATCTCGTGTCTTCTTCTTCCTTCCTCATACAGTTATCCAGCTTTCTTTCCATATAGCTTTCAAAGAGTTCCAGTCTTCTTCCACACCCGATCCTTCAGGGATGTTGCTCAATGTCTCCCATTTTGTCCTCATGATTGTCCCACGTGAAGATGTCCTTTGTAGTTCCATCCTTCAGTTCAGTTTAGTTCAGTTCAGTTTCTGTTCTGGGTGGTTGTTCAACTTGAACTGTGGCCGTCTATCACCAACTTCTTTGATTTTGGCTTTCAACATGATTTTGAAGCTAGATAGTGAGTGGTGTGAACCTACATCTTCTCCCCTTCTTGATCTGATCTTGTGTCTGGTAGGTTGGCTGAGTCTCCACTTTCTTCACATTGACGTGAAGTCGATCTGATTTTTAGTGTGTCCTGTTGTCTGGTGAAATCAAATCCAGATCGCTTTGTGAATATCCTTGTGTTTGTACACACTGCTTCATCTCCAGTCACCAAATCATTGAATGCGCAGAAGTCTGCAAACAGTTCTCCATTCTCATTCACTTCACCAAATGCTTCTCGACCCATGGTTAGTTCTCTTCCTGTGTTGTCCACTCCCAGTTTCGCATTCATCTCACCCCACCCGTTAGAATTTTGATGTCGCCATCTGGGGTGTGGTCATGTTCAGTGCTGATTGCAGTTGTCTGTAGAACTCCTCCTCCTCCTTCTCTTCATCTGCATTATTTGTAGGTGTGTAGCGTAGCATTGTATGATTGTGACTTTCCTTCCTTAGAGTTGAACCTTGCTGTAATGATCCTGCATGAGGAGATTGGTTCCCACTGTATGAGAGAGAGAGAGAGAGCCTTCGATGGTGTTGGGGACATCATGATGGGCACTCGAAAACTCAGTGTGCTGTGCTCGTGGTTGTCGTCTGGGAGACAATATCGGAGTAGATTATTGACTCTCCAGTTGACAGTTGGGAGAGTTCACTTCCATTCCATCTGCTTTCGCAGATTCCTATCACTTCTATGCCATACCTTCTCATCTCTTTTTCAATCTGGGCGGCTTTGCTAGCAATTATTGGCTTAAAATTCAAAACGTGTTTATTATACCTCTTCCTGAATGGTTATGTAGCAGCTGAGATCTTCCTTCATGCGACGTAATAAAAAGACAAATTCTTTCCAAGTAATCAAGACAGTGAAAAAGCTAGGGTTCAAAGCGAGTACTCCATTACGTGTAAGAATTTCAATCGACAATTTTTTAAATTTCTTTGAAGCTTCTTTAGGGATTGTATTGGTTTTCCGGGGTAGGATTGTTAGCCGTATGCCTAACCTTTCCTCTCTATCTGGGAATAGGGCTGGCTAGTAACTAGGGAACTAGTTAACCAGGCGAGGTTGCCTAGGATAATTTAGTTGACAAAAATGTCATGCGTTCTAACTGAAATTCGATTGCAGAGGTCAGTTATTAAATGAGACTGAGATTGTCTAATGCTTAAGTGCATCAAATTTACTTTCATCTGCTTCACTTGTAATGTACTCACTTATTCTGAAGGTGTTCAGGTGCGTGGATTTTCACCGTTTGTATCACCTACTTCAATTTCCGCCAGTACTGAATGTATGCACGTGACCGCTTTTGAAAAGCATCAATTACTAAGTACTGTTTTATACCTAATTTTGCCTCATCCCTGTATAGGCAGCCTCTGGCTTTTTCTATCAGATCTCAGTATAAACTATTTTTAAGTTTTGATTTTCCGTTAAAATCAAGGTTATATACTAAGCAAAGGTAGGGCAACTTATCTCGTTATTGAGTGAGATTGCCATTCGCTTATCATTCCCGGCGCAGAGTTAACTTGAAGCATACTTTTCTGAGACATGAGCAAATTATATCTCTGTTGATTTTTCAGTGACAGTGATATCGAAGTATGCGTTTTGGAGCACCTTGTGTTTAGTAATTAGGAACTGCAGTTTTAGTTTTGTAGGGATGCATTAATGCACATAGGTATGCCGTGTAATTCTTTTGAATTTCGAGCTAATTGTAATAAGATTGCTTACTTCACTTGTTCTCCATTAACCGCAAATTATTTTCAGTCATGTCCAAGTACTGGAAGTAAATTTCTATGTCAAACGGCATAGTGCAACTTTGAATATTGTCATCGAAGAGTTGCGTCTTGGTAAACTAACCAATCTACAAGCTACGTCATCTGATGAAAATAAAAGGAAACTTACACCAGCAGAAAAGTTACTGCATGAAATACGTTTTATGTCGGCCGCTGACTGGTTTGTTCACCATCAAGATGATAATGGTGGTTGGTCTGTAAATGTTCGACGTTTTCTGAAAGGAAGAAAGGCTTTGAAACCTGGGTGGTATTCTGCTATGGGTCAAGGTATTCATATGTTTTATTTATTTGCTTTAAATGCCATTTAACTATTTTTGATCGCATTTCGGATAGTCTGATAAAATGGTCTAAGTATCACATGTTAGCTGTGCATCATGTTAAAAGTGCTTATATATAGTCGTTATCTGTTTTTAACTCCAGATACAATGTCCCGGTGATACATGTGCACTTAGATATTGGCGATTTATCTGCTCGCTGAATGTTATTCTGAATGACTGAAATTAAGCAATACAAAAAGGCTACCGTCGTTGTTTTAACAGTGTATCTGAAGCGGTGTTCACTTTGCAACTAGCCTATGGATTACTGTTTTGTGTAGGGAAGATTGTGTTGTTCATTTGAAGAGTCATAAGCTGGAGAAAACTTCATATTGGTCAGGACCATAAGGAGGTATATGTTCTCAATTGGGAAACTGATAGGTAAATGATGTTAGCATTTAAAAAGCCGTAGATGAAATGTTTTCAAATTAATTCTAATGATACATTCGCTTTTAATGTGTCTGGAAAAGAACAGAGTCTTCTGTTTCATAAGATTTGAAGCGACTGAATGTAACAAGACGCTAATGTAGTAAAGATACTGAATGCCATAAGACACTTGAATTGAATACGTTAACAACTGTTCACTGAACCACCAATGTCAGAAGACAAAGACTGGCCTGTAATTGCAAAGACGACTTTGTTTGACAAAATAATAATACCAACCGCTTTATTCCAAACATTATGTTTTATACAGTATGGAATTTCCAGCAGGTTTACAACTAGAAAAATATATTCAGACAAATGATTACTGCATCCGAATAATGTTAATGATAGCACTATTAAAGGCAATATTTTGAACAATCAGCTGATATTGAACTAGCTTCCGATCTAGAATGGAAAAGAAAATCCAACCCGTTTGTTGCTGATGGTTACTTCAGCCAATGCAAGAATCTGGCATTCGAGCTAAGCGTCCAAGGATTGGAAATATGATGAATGTTTGCACAATGAAAAGTCCATTCCCATCGAACTTGATATTTTTTCTTGGTTTTGTTATCTAGTTGAGAAATGGCTAGCTAAAACATTTTTAAACTGTGCAAGAGAATATGACACCTTTAGTAGACATAGTTACGTGATTAAAAAAAATTGGAAACAAATAATTAGACGTATATTTGTGGTGGAAAATTTCTCTAGCTCAAGGTTCAAGCAGGTCGCCAAATACACCATGTATGGACAGTTTCCACAAACATCAGAATGTACAAGGTTAAAGATAAGATATAACTTATCTTGATTTTCTCCATGAAGTACGAAATCGTTCATCAAAACTTATCCTAACTACACATCAGCGCAGATCGAAATTTGAAGCTCAAATATGTCATATCTCACATTGATCTAATAAGGCACTTTTAATACATATTTCTGCTTTTTGCTTAATTTTAAATGCAGGTTTGAAAGCCGTGCACCATGTAATGCATTCTAATAATGGCGATATTAAAATACAATTATAATAACTTATTTACATAGAACACACAGTTACACCAAACAACACTTCACTTAGTCCTACTACATTGTCGCAAAGTATGATTAATGGACATGGAGGATTTGGGAAGAATGCCTTCTTAGTAGTGTCGTTTACGTATGATTTAATTATTGTGTGGGAAATGTAAAAGTTAAACGTGGAGTAATTGGGTAGGGGAGACAAATCGGTTTATAGGATTTTAAGTCTTCATCGACTAAGGTAGTTGAGGCATATATTGCGATTGTGGTGACACCATCTATGCCACTGCAGTGTCAGTTTATTGGTCAGGAGAGGATATGTAAGCACCGGATACCGTTTCGCACAATTTTTCTGACGCGTTTTAGCTTCCTGATTGGAACCAGCAAGACAACTAGATTAAATATAACCCGAAGTAGATTGTTGTGATTGTTACTTATCCATGCCACACCTTACCCAAACTTTGGATGATTATCTTTAGAACGTTTTTTATCTTAAAGTTGTATTTTAGTGAATTAAACATAAAACTAGCAATCTGTGATCATGGGCATTCAAACCCCTCACCCTACCTACCTGCATTTTTGGCATTTTAGCAATATGAGATGAATAACTTCGAATATATTTTGCGAAGCAATTCTTATCATGGTTGATATCAGTTGGAGAAGCATTGAAAAACTGGGAGCCTTGGAAATCCCGAGCAGTGCGCACCCATGACTCCGGGGGGAGGGTCGAGATTTATACCATCATGCCTTACGGTTAGCGTGTTAACACTTGGTCACTGGATGGAAATCCAGTGGGTTACCAATTCCTACTTCTGTCATTTCGCGTTTTACCCCGATCATCATTCAGTAAGCAGATAAATTCTAATAGTTTACTGTATAGGCGTTTTACAATGAAGAGCGAGCGCAACTAAAAAGTAGATTGAGAAAAAGTCTACGCAAAGAGCGTGAACAGTGGTGGGAAGTGAAGGCTAAAGAGATAGATGGAAAAGACAGCAGCGATTGATAATAATAGACAGTTATTTAGACTTATTAAGGAAACTGGGGGAAAAAGGTTAACAACAGTTAGTGAGGCTATAGCGGAGAAGGACGGATCTGCGATTCACTCGTAGGGGAGACGACTGGAACGATGGGCAGAACACTTCGAGGAACAGTTTAACTGGCCTCGAACCACCATTCCGTTGACCGCTATCCAGTCAGATCCTGAATGGGACATAGAGATAGGTCCCCCAACACTAGAAGAAGTTGAGAGAGCGGTAGGTAACCTAGAACGAGGAAGGGCAGCAAGATCAGACGGACTACCTGCTGAGGTATAAAATAATGGTGGCGCAGTGCTCTTAGTCAGGTTAGCGGAAGTGTTAACCAGTATTAGGGAATCAAATACGATCCTCTCTAACTGGTCTGAATCACTGATTATCCCAGTCTTCAAGAAAGACGAGAAGTCCTCTTGTTATAACCACAGAGGAATCAGCCTGACGAACATAGTGTCTAAGATCCTAGGTTCTATAATTTCTCGACGTCTGAGTGGAGCTCAGGAACAGCAAGCCCGAGAAAACCAGGCAGGCTTTAGACCCGGCCGCAGGTGTATCGACCAAATATTCACCTTGCGCCAGGTTCTGGAACATAGGCACGCTTACCGATGCCCGACACTGGCTGTATTTCTCGACCTGAAGGTGGCATTTGACTCCGTTGATCGAGAAGTCTTATGGCATTGTCTCTCACTGAAGGGCGTGCCTAGTAAGTACATCACCTTATTGAAAGCTCTCTACTCGAACACTTGTGGGCGTGTTAGAGCCTATGGTGAGATGTGTAGGGAGCTACGCTCATCGAGTAATGTCCTTCAAGGATGCCCACTCTCTCCATTCTCATTCAATTTTATCATGGATATTCTTATGGAGGTTTCCCTCTGGTCACCAAATTACACAGAGGTTGACGTAATCGCGGAAGAATTTTTGTTAGACCTAGAATATGCAGATGACATAGTCCTGTTAGTTCTAAGAAGACACTGAAAAGATGCAGAGACTTCTGAACACTTTGAGTGGCAATTTGAGAATGTTTGGGATGCGTTTCTCGCCACCCAAATGGAAATTGTTGTTCCAGGATTGGTCTTCAACGGCGCCCCACCGTGGCTAACAATAGAGAATGTAGTGGTTGTGTCGACCACTTCACTTACCTAGGGAGTAGGATCAGCCCTGGTGGCTCAGTGGCCGATGAGATTTCTGCACGGATACAAAAGGCTCGACTGGCTTTTACTAACTTATTCCATCTGTGGCGCCGCCGTGATATCCGATTGTCTATTAAGGGTTTCGTGTACTGCACAGCAGTCCGGTCTGTTCTACTATATGGCTGTGAAACATGACCACTGAAAGTGAAAGACATGAGAAGGATGGCTTCAGGTGGTTGACCACCGTTGCCTTCGTAGTATAGGCCGTATTCCGTAGTGTCACCATGTGAGTAACGCTGAAGTCAGGCGTAGAGTATTAGGCAGGAGAGGCAAGTCAGTTGACGAGGTTATGAACCTTCGTCGACTGAGATGGTTAGGATATGTGCTACGTATGCCTAATCGCCGATTGCCTCATCACACAATGTTGGCCGAAGTGGGTCCAGGCTGAAAAAAGGCCCGAGGTGGCCAGACTAAAACATGGCATCAGTGTATGAAGTTTTTGACTGTTGGTTTGAGTTATATGGGGCGATACAGATTAGCCGGTTAGGGTCTGCGAGACCGGAGCAAGGAGTGGTTGGAGACTTTAGAGGATATGGCTCAGAATCGAAGTCAGTGGTGCAGATGTATACACATATTATGCTCATCTTAACGACGTTATATCGAACCTCACCATTTTCTCATTCTTCCTTTCTGTCTTCCAGTACTTGATATTTCTTTTGACTTGATTTTCTCTTTTTGATCTTCCACTTCACTACCTTTTTACTTGATGTACTGACATGAGCTGTGGCAACTCGGACCGTTACGTAGTAATGCCTGGTCCTATGTTGAGATTGATGATGATAATAGGCATTTTACTAGCTACATGAAGCAACTTATTTCGTTAAGAGTATTGTGCATGAGATATTACACCTTCTGGAAATAATGATAAACATCATTGAAACAAATCATGTTTACAAACTGTAAGTTAGTTAAAATCAACAGTTATATTGATAAAACGACTTTAGATAATTGTATGAAAGATTGCTTATGGAATCTCGTTGGCTAATTTTTTCGTTGAGTTACAAAAACACCTTTGCTTGAATTTGTTCATGCTTATCAATTTTCGTGTCTATATTTTTGTTGGTCTATTGCAGGTCAAGCGATGTCATTACTAGTCAGAGCTTACAATTACACCAGTGATCTGTCATATCTTCAAGCTTGCTGTCGTTCATTGGATTTGTTTAATTTAAGTATAAAATACAATGGTGTTCGTTCGTATTTTCTTAATCAGTCAGATCTCATATGGTTCGAAGAGTATCCATTTGATCCGCCTATTCATATATTGAATGGTTTTATTTATTCACTGATAGGCTTATATGATTTTACTCAAGTAAGTGAAAACTTTTTTTTCCTCATATAATTTAAGTCCTTCTCTATGGTGGCATGAACAGCTCTGAAGTCAGATAGTTGGACTGTTTATCAATAAGCATGCTGAAATATGTTCACTACCTTTAGTCTGTGGATATATCTGGTACAAATGGTTATTTCGACTTGAGTTTATTCAAACATTCGGTATGCGGCAGTTGGTGTGCGCTACAAATTCATATATTCTCGTGGCGCCGCCGTGCTTTGATGATATCAAATCAGCTCTTAACGATCATTCTGAATGTTTTTAGACACCAGCTAGCTACACTGATGGGCTTCTATCCTATCATTTAAAGTGGGTATTTGAAACATTTAGCCTATTCTCCGTTATATCATTGGAAAAAATTACACTGCGGTTATCACACTTCATTGTAGCACGTAAGGAGGAAGTAGACGGAAAAAGTAATAATAAGGTTGATAAATGTGTACGAGAAGAGAAGGGATGAAGAGTGATAAGATGCTTAAGACTTTGAAAATGACAAAGAGTGTATACATCTGTGATATTTTTTTTAACCGATTTTCAACTATGTCACTGATAGTCGCCGACTACTGATTCTTATTAATTCATTTACACATATCTATGTGGTTCAAACCAACGCTCAGAGGCTTCATCGACTTATACCAATTTTTGATCTCACTACTCTTCCAACTTAATCCTATTTTGACTAACATCCCGTTTTGGGGTAGACGATGACTTAGCATGTACAACACGTCCAAGCAACCTCAGTCGGTGAACGTTCACAACCTCATAAACTGACTGGAATGCCTTGCCTAGTACCGTTCGCTTAACGTTGATATTGCTTACAGCGCGATTTCACCATACGTGAGCAATATCTAGTCAAAACTTTACTAATGTTTAATATCTACTTCTAGAGACTGTTTCATAACTGCATAATATGCCATCGATCCTCTTAAACCACTCATGGGTTTCTACCGTATGTACTTGATGCTTCAGATGCATCAACACTCTTTAGCTCTCCAATGCATCTTTGCAGGTGACAAGACTGAGTTTATTAGACATTGAGATACTGGTCATATGGAGAAAACGTCCAATTATTTAAAACATGCAGCGTATTAATGAATGTATTTTCGACCTTCGAGATGTATCGGTAATTCTTGCCTCACAACCCGAATAGTTTTACTTTAAGTGTCATTACCTGGTGATGGGCTTGCATGAGGCACTTGAATTCAAATAAACAACTGTTCTTATGGGATTTATTCGGTTATTTTTCTCTGACGCGTGAACTTGACTAACACATTAGTTTAATTCTGTTATCATGCTATGTTTTATTTGTTCTGGTGATTTAACGTGACATGTTCTATCATTTCTGTTTATTTTAGGTGGCAGCAAGTAATCGAGACCCCTTGGTAGCATCTAGTTTGTTGAAAGCCCAAACGTTTTTGAATTCGGGACTGACAAGTTTGTCTAAATTACTCCCACTGTTTGACTCTGGCAGTGGCAGCTTTTATGACCTTCGTCATCTTTCAGCTGATCATATCCAGTCTATGAAGTACACTGAACCTAGAAATGCTAGAAACAATTTTCAGTTATCATCTGGTCCTAACAGAGCTCGTTGGAGTTATCATTCTTTACATATTCGGCAACTTCAAACTTTGGTTGATCTAGACCCGGAACATTCTGTTCAATGGCAAAATACAGCGAGTCGATGGATCGCCTATCTTCAAGGTTTTCAGTCTCTTCAGAATTAGTTTTTTTTCTCTCATTATCACCGGCAACTATGTTTGATGAAAAAACCAAACAGATTTTTTGTAAACATGACTCCTGGTGATCCTTCCAAAGCGCCCATCTACTCTACTTGCAATAATCAAACCCTTGTTACTCATAACCGATTTTCTCTCTCTCTCTCTCATATATATATATATATATATATATATATATATATATATATATATATATATATATATATTCCTTATTTATCCTCTGTATGTATGAAAAGATTTTAAAAAACATGCATTTGTACTACTGTTTAAATTGCTGTTACTAACACCTGTTACCTATTTGACTTATTGTTACATTTTGACTATGATAATTTTGCCTTCTGTTTGGAAATAAACGTCACTTTTCAGCAGAAATGATCTTATTGATGTTCTTATTATGAATGTAGAAATTTAGAAGTGTTCATTAACTTCAAACATCGCTTTCATCACAGATGTCGTATATATGTTGAATAGACTACTGGATAACGAAAGCGTTTTATTTGACTGCTATTTTACACTAACCTTACGTGTACGGAGAGCTGTTGTTATGATTCGAATCTTCATGGGGTTCTCGGCGGTCTTAGGGCTGTCTTAAGGTATGTAGCGTTATGTGAATTGTTTGATATTCAACCCCTAATATTTTGCCATGAATTCATGAGCTGTGGTTGTAACTTACTATTACTTGGATAAACGATGGGTCGTATCAAAATTTAAGAGTTTGATATCGAGTTGCTTCAAATACAGGCTAGTCTGCATTTAACATACGTGCTGACTTTAAAAAAGTTATCGATTGAAATTCTTACACGTAATGGAGTACTCGCTTTGAACCCTAGCTTTTTCACTGTCTTGATTACTTGGAAGGAATTTGTCTTTTTATTACGTCGCATGAAGGAAGATCTCAGCTGCTACATAACCATTCAGGAAGAGGTATAATAAACACGTTTTGAATTTTAAGCCAATAATTGCTAGCAAAGCCGCCCAGATTGAAAAAGAGATGAGAAGGTATGGCATAGAAGTGATAGGAATCTGCGAAAGCAGATGGAATGGAAGTGAACTCTCCCAACTGTCAACTGGAGAGTCAATAATCTACTCCGATATTGTCTCCCAGACGACAACCACGAGCACAGCACACTGAGTTTTCGAGTGCCCATCATGATGTCCCCAACACCATCGAAGGCTCTCTCTCTCTCTCATACAGTGGGAACCAATCTCCTCATGCAGGATCATTACAGCAAGGTTCAACTCTAAGGAAGGAAAGTCACAATCATACAATGCTACGCTACACACCTACAAATAATGCAGATGAAGAGAAGGAGGAGGAGGAGTTCTACAGACAACTGCAATCAGCACTGAACATGACCGCACCCCAGATGGCGACATCAAAATTCTAACGGGTGGGGTGAGATGAATGCGAAACTGGGAGTGGACAACACAGGAAGAGAACTAACCATGGGTCGAGAAGCATTTGGTGAAGTGAATGAGAATGGAGAACTGTTTGCAGACTTCTGCGCATTCAATGATTTGGTGACTGGAGATGAAGCAGTGTGTACAAACACAAGGATATTCACAAAGCGATCTGGATTTGATTTCACCAGACAACAGGACACACTAAAAATCAGATCGACTTCACGTCAATGTGAAGAAAGTGGAGACTCAGCCAACCTACCAGACACAAGATCAGATCAAGAAGGGGAGAAGATGTAGGTTCACACCACTCACTATCTAGCTTCAAAATCATGTTGAAAGCCAAAATCAAAGAAGTTGGTGATAGACGGCCACAGTTCAAGTTGAACAACCACCCAGAACAGAAACTGAACTGAACTAAACTGAACTGAAGGATGGAACTACAAAGGACATCTTCACGTGGGACAATCATGAGGACAAAATGGGAGACATTGAGCAACATCCCTGAAGGATCGGGTGTGGAAGAAGACTGGAACTCTTTGAAAGCTATATGGAAAGAAAGCTGGATAACTGTATGAGGAAGGAAGAAGAAGACACGAGATGAAAAACGGATCTCCACATGGAATCTGAGAGATAAGGGAGAGGAAGATGGGGAAGCAGAAGATGAACCGGTGCAAGGATGCACAACGAAAAGAGGAACTGAGTACAATGTATAAAACACTGGACAGAGAAGTGAAGAAGAGTGCGCGCAAAGACAAAACACACCACTGCGACACACTTGCAAGTGAAGCACAACAGGCTTCAGATAAGAGAGACAGAGAGAGACCTGACAACATTGTATCAAATAACCAGGTTACTATATGGGAGGGGAGAGATCAACGCAGATGAAACCAATTAAAGATGATGGAGGAAATTTAACTACCAGAGAAGAGAAACAAAGTAAACAATGGGCTGACCACTTCAAAGAACTCTTCAATCGACCATCACCAACATCTCCAGCTAGTCCACAAATACCACCAGTAGTTCAGCCACAGAACTAACTACCGGTGAATACAGGGCCTCGGACAAAGCAGAAGTGAAGTCCTGAACGGTATCGAGTTGCTGAAATCTGGGAAAGCAGGATGAGAAGAAGGTTTTGAAGGAAGGAAGAAACGGTGCCTGTAGATTGATTGGAAGAAGGGCTACTTTGAGAAACTTCGAAAGAAGGGAGGCCTATGTCTTTGCAGGACTAAGAACTGGCGAGGAATTATGCTGCTGTCCACCTCAAGCAAAATATTATGCGCATCATCTTAGAGAGACTGAAAGATATGTTGGATTGAAAATTATGACCGGAACAGGCTGGCTGGCTTCCAGAATAACAAATCATGTGTGGAAGAAATTGCAATGCTACCCTGCACTACGCATCATCATAGAACATAGGATGGGATGGCAGTCAACTCTCTACCTCAACTTCATAGATTTTGAAAAGGCCTTCGACAGCGTCGACCGAGAAGTGATTTGGCGGGCAGCTGCTTCAACACTATGATTTTAGTGCCACAAACCTTTATCAACCTCATTCCACAACTATGTTCTATATGATGCTATATGCCAAGTGATTCACAATGGAAAGCTCAGTAATGCGTTTGAAGTGAAGAAAAGAGTAAGACAAGGTTACCGCCTACTATCATCGATGATCTTCCTGATTGTGGTCGACTCGACTGAACTGGATGATGCAAGAAACTGTGAGGAGTGAGAAGATGGGTATACGTAGGCTTGACCGATGAAAAGATGCCTGAAGAAGATTTGGGTTTCGTCGCCGATGATGATTTATGTGTGATGTGGCAGATGTGGAAGATCTACAGGCGAAAACTAACAAGTTGACAGAGGAGACAGGATAGAGATGGGAGACCGGACTTCCTTCAGGTGAGCGTAGAGAAGACAGAGGTGATGAAGATACTCAACCAACAACAACAACAGCAAGCACCAATCACCATGAATGGGAGAAACGTAAAGGAAGTGGCCTCTTTGAGCTGTCTAGGCAGCATCTTTTCAACTTCAGGTGGCGGCACAGGCACAGATGAGGACGTCAAAGCGAGGATCGGAAGGGAAGCAGGACAGGCCTTCATTAACCCGAAATCAGTGTGGAGATCGACTGTACCACACCGCACCGCACTGCACTCAGCATAAAGCGTGAACAAGATCCGGATTTTCAACACTAATGTCAGTCAAGGATCCGGAGATTTTAATGCTGTCCCGCCTCCCGAGGTTAAGCAGTTAATGAACGGATGCCGCATTCTGGTCCCGCCACCCTGAATCTTCCCCTCCCCACCGAATCCCATTTTGCACATGAAAGTATGTGGTGGCTTGGTCATTTGTTACGTTGCAGCCAGCGTTGCTTGGTGGGACATCGGAATATACGAACCGGGTCACTACGTCTAGATAGCACTTGGCGGTCCGGATTCGCGTGAGAGCTGCTGTTTTTCTGCAACATAGGTGTAAAACTTGGGCAATGTGGTAGAATTTAATCCCTTTCTATTATTATTATTTGTCCCTTGGGTTCCTAGTTGAACATAGGGCTTCAATAGCACGTCTCCAGTGCACTCTGTTCTCTGAAATTTTTTGAACCGGGCTCCACGACTGCCCAGAAGCTCTTATTTCTTCCTCACACGATCTCTTCCATGTCACCCTCGCCTCGGACGCCCAACTCATCGCTCTCCATCTGGGTTACACTCGATGACCTGGCCTGGCGCTTTATGTCCCCAGTCGGCCTTCTCAGTGTATGCCCAATCCACCTACACTTCCTTCTGCATATTTGTTCAGCGATAGGTTCTTGGTTGGTTCTTCGCCATGCCAGAGTTCCTTGTTGCTTATTCTTTCTGGCCATCTGATCTTCAGTAACTAGCCAGCGTAGGCAGTTGTTGATGAATATCTGTAGTTTGTTGGGAATCCCTTTCGTAACGCGCCAAGTCTCTGAGCCATACAGAAGCACTGACGTGACGTTGCTGTTGAAAATCTGGATCTTGTTCACGCTTTATACTGAGTGCCGAAGATCTCCACACTGGTTTCAGGCTGATGAACACCTGTCTTGCTTTTCCGATCCTGGCTGGCTTTGACGTCCTCGTCTGTGCATGTGCTGCCTGTAGTTGAAACAGTGCTGCCTAGATAGGTGAAAGAGATAACTTCCTTTAATTTTCTCCTGTTGATGATGATTGGAGCTTGTTGTTGTTGTTGTTGGTTGAGTATCTTCATCACCTCTGTCTTCTCTACGTTCACCTGAAAGAAGTCCTGTCTTCCATCGCTGTCTTGTCTCTTCTGACAACTTGTTAGTTTTCGCCTGTAGATCTTCCAGTTTGTGCGACATTAGACATAAGTCATCGGCGAAATCTAAATCTTCGAGGTTCTTTTCTTCGGTTCAGCGTATCCCCCTCTTCTCACAGCTCTCCACTGTTTTTTGCATGATCCAGTCGACCACAATCAGGAAGATCATCGATGATAGTAGGCGGTAACCTTGTCTTACTCCTGTTTTAACTTCAAACGCATTACTGAACTTTCCATTATGAATTACCTGGCATGTGGTGTCTTCATATAGTTGTTGAATGAGATTGATA